CTGTGACTGTGAGTGGACAGGCTGTGGACCCTCTAAGGGAGGAGGAGGAGGACTTGGAGAAGGTGTAAGACCAAGAACCTGCTGCAGGAGTGGAACGAAGTACGGTCGGGGCCGCGTGGCGACGCCAGAAACAGCAGGGACAGGACCAGTACCCCCAGCAGGAGAACTCGCTCTAGCAGCACCTCCAGCAGCACCTCCAGTGGCTCCAGAACCCCCAGCAGCACCTCCAGCAGCCCCAGAACCTCCAGCAGCACTAGGAGCACCGCCAGCCGGACCGCCAGTGGTAGGCTTAGCGCCAACACCCCCAGCAGCACTTGCTCCAGTTGAACCCGCAGGCCCAGCAGCTCCAGTACACCAAGTACGAGCACCTCCGGGACCCGCGACAGCAGCACCCTCAGTAGCCGAAGAGCCTCCAGCACCAGCAGCACGCCTCCAGCGCCGGGCAAACCACTCACGCAGCTCCTGTGGGGAGAGTGGCTCTCGGCGAGACGAAGCACCTCCAGGCGGAGCACCCCCAGGCTCAGCACCCCCAGGCTCAGTACATAGACGTACGAGCGCGAGGCATCCGTCAGACCTTCACGCTTCCGGACTCACCGCAGCAGAATGGGATTGCAGAGCGCCGCATTGGCATGGTCATGGACGTCGCTCGTACGTCTATGATGCATGCAGCTGCCCCCCATTTTCTGTGGCTCAGCACCCCCAGGCTCAGCACCCCCATTTGCAGAACGCCGACGCATCGCCAACCTTCCCCGACCACAGCAGGGCTGGGGAGGTCTCCGGCCTGGAGACCCTGGGGTGGAGGTTGATCTGATGCGCCGCGTACCTGACCGCAAACGGCCACAGAAAATGTGGGGCAGCCGCATGCATCATAGACGTACGAGCGACGTCCATGACCATGCTAATGCGGCGCTCTGCAATCCCATTCTGCTGCGGTGAGTCCGGAAGCGTGAAGGTCTGACGGATGCCTCGCGCACGGCAGTAGGCACGCAGAAGGCCAGAGGAGAACTCTCCGCCTCTGACCGAGTGCAGACGCAACACAGGAAAGTCCGAGCCAAAGCTCTGAGCTGGAGACGAGCTGCGCGGATCCAGTCGATCAGCATCTCAGTGGCATCACCCTTGCTGCGCAAGGGGAAGACTGTGGTGTAACGCGAGTAGTCGTCAACCACCAACAGGAAGTAGCGCTCGTGACCGAGTCCACGGACGCGGGCAGGGCCCCACACGTCCATGTGAAGCGTCTGCAACGGAGCCTCTGTCGGAGGAAACTGGGAGGAGTGAGGGGCAGCACGCTGGCGCCCCTCGACACAGGGGACACAGGCAGGGCCAGGGCCCTGAGGAAGGGGAGGGAGGGACCGGGGAAGACCAGACACAAGAAGACGGGAGGCCATGCCTCTGAGCCGAAGAAGAGAGGGGTGACCCAGGCAATGGTGCCAGAGGAGAGTCTCGTGAGACAGGGGACAACACGAACAGGGGGCACACTCAGGACCAGACCTGGACGCTGCAGCAAACACCTGACCTGACGAAGGGACCCTACCAGACGCAGGAACTGGAGGAGAAGCAGTGGTCAGTGTGTATAGGCTCGACCCTGGCTGACGTGTAAACGTAGCCAGGTGACGACCTATGCTAGCCTTTGTGCAGTGCGTCGCGCGCTGATGAGTAGGGGTGAACTGGTGGACTCCCGCATCCTGTAGGTCAGCACCACTCACCAAGTTCGTAGAGAACGAGGGGAGGTAGAGACCAGACAGGGTGTCAGAGGGAGCCGCCGGACACGGGAGGCCTGTGGAGAAGCGAGACAGAACAGGACCTCCAGAGGGGTCTGCCAGGGACACTGCAACCGGCCGACTAAGCGGCGTGAGTGTGGTGCGGTCCCGAAAGAAGGACCGAGACGCTCCAGAGTCAAGGGTGAAGGTGTGGGAGGCCGAAGCCGACGCAGTACCTGAGAGCGCAGACTCACTGGTACCTGAGAGAGCAGCCTCACCAGTACCTGAGAGCACAGACGCACTGGCACCTAGAGCAGAAGCCTCGCTGGCACCTAGAGCAGCAGTAGCAATGCCCGGGTCGGGCGGGAAACACCGGTCACAGTCACCCTCATCACTAATGGTCACAGCATACATGGCAGCAAGGATAGCATCAAAGTCAAGATCAAAGACAGCTACACCAGCCCTAGACAGCTCTCCCCAGCGGGGGATCTCCGCGGCCTCCGGGAACTGCTGGCGCCAAGCGTCCGTCAGGCGGCCAAAGCAGCGCTGGGCGGTGTAGGTACCCCCACACTGCTCTCCAGCGCGGTTGCCAGAGCGAAGAACGTAGGTGCAGGGACCAAAACCCCCACCACGCTGACGCTGGGTGTACCACTCACGGAGCTGTTGAGGGGTGGGGACGTCGCGAGAACGCTGCTGCTGCTGCTGCTGTTTGCGCTGACCACCCCCAGTGCTACTCCGCTGCGAAGTGCCACTCCGACCACCTCCACCACCGCCACCCCCGCCTCTGCCTCCACCGCCCCCGCCTCCGCCTCCACCGCCGCCGCCTCCGCCACCTCCGCTCCCATCGCCACCGCTGCCGCTACCCCCGCCTCCACTGCCGCCACTAGCACCCCCACCCCCGCCACCACCTCCACCGCCACTCCCACTCCCTCCGCCGCCTCCACCTCCACCTCCACCGCCCCCGCTGGCCCCACCCGCTCCCTTGCCCCCCTTGCCCTTGCCAGAGCGGCGTCTCCCGCTAGGGGCAGACGCCGCACCGACTGACTCAAGACCAACGAGGTCGGCCGCAGCGGCAGAGGCGACAGAGGGCAGGAGAGGGGAAGGAGAACACCCCTCAAAGATGGGGGCGCGGGGGTCACCCCGAGAGGCTCCTATAGCAACTATGCTCTTCTCCGTCGCTAGGAGGGCCTTCTCGAGGCTGTCGACTGTGAGGGTGGTGGGACAGACCGCGAGGAAGTGGTCCCGGACTACACGAAGGGAGTCAGGGAGGCGAGTGACTAAAAAGTAGAGAGTGATGTACATGGGGGGGGGGTTCTTGGCGCAGAAGTCAGCAGGAAGCGCAGCGCGGTAGCGAGTGTCACTAGTGAGGAGGTGCGTAATGAGATCAGCGACAGTGGGAAAGGCGGCAAGGTCAGGGAAGAGAAAGGGGAGCATGAGGCGGCTCAGTTCAGCAGTGGAAAGGGAGGAGTAGCGCACAACTACGGCGTCGTACAAGGTCTGGGCACTCTTGTACTGGCTAAAGTGCGCGCGCTCAGCGGTAGGCAGGTGGCGACGCACAGCAAGACGTGCAGCAGCATCGTGCGTGGCCCACTGTGAGCGAACAGTGGCGTCAGCATCAGCAGCAGGGGCAGGGACAGCGCCAGAGGTGAGGTCAAAGAGAGAAAGACCGTCTGCCCTATCGCACTGTAAGAACAGCTGCAGGTCGTCGAGCCAGACCTCAAAGTCAATGGCGCGACCCTCAGCGTCAAAAGCTAGGACACTAGGGGTAGCCATGATGACAGACTAGCAGTCCAAGTAGTGTGGGAAGGGGCACGCAGTAGCAGTGGAGATGTGCTTACCAGACAGGACGGGTCGGGCAGCTCAGCAGCACAGCAACACAGCAGCTCTGCCGGCCGAGTAGCAACAGCAGCCCGAAAGGACCAGCACCTCGGCTCCTCAGGCGGCTCGGGCGGCTCGGGCGCTCAGGGGTACAAGCGGCTCGGGCGGCTCGGGCGGCATAGGTGGCTCGGGCGGCTTGGCTCCTCAGCTGCGTAGGCGGCTCGGGCGGCTCGGGTGACGCGGGTGGCACGGGCGGCTCGGGCGTCGAAGGGCCGGGACAGCGTGGCGCGAGGGCAGCTAGGAGCGGGACCGGGGTGGGCGGCTCACGGGTGGCTCGGGGCCGGGACGGGCAGCTCACGGGCGGCGCACAGGCGGCTCACGGGCGGTTCACGGGTGGCTCGGGGCCGGGACGGACGGCTCACGGGCGGCTCACGGGCGGCTCACGGGCGGCTGACGGGTGGCTCACGGGCGGCTCACGGGCGGCTCACGGGCGGCTCACGGGCGGCTCACGGGCGGCGCTTCGGGCGGCTACGGGCGGCGCACGGGTGGCTCACGGGCGGCTCACGTGTGGCTCACGGGCGGCGCTTCGGGCGGCTAAGGGCGGCGCACAGGCGGCACGTGGGCGGTTAAGGGCGGCGCGTGGGCGGCCTGAGGCCTAGCGGGCGGCGCGCGGGCGGCTAAGGGCGGCGCGCGGACGGCGCGTGGGCGGCCTGGGGCCTGGCGAGCGGCGCGCGGGCTGCTTAGGGCGGTGCGCGGGCTGCTTAGGGCGGCGCGCGGGCTGCTTAGGGCGGCGCGCAGGCTGCTTAGGGCGGCGCGCGAGCTGCTGAGGGCGGCGCGCGGGCTGCTAAGGGCGGCGCGCGGGCTGCACGGGGCCTGGACGGGCGGTGCGCTGGTGGCGTGAGGCCTGAGCGGGCGGCGCGCGGGCGGTTAGGGGCCGGTCGACAGAGGTAAGAGAGAGCCCGGAGCGCGCTCCGGGTAAAAAAAAGTTCGAAGTAGTGGTGGGCCCTAAGCACAGTTCCCACAGGGGAACCTGCTAGATACCATGAGAAGAATTGAACGAGAATGAAATGACTATGAACGAAGTGAGTACAAATAGGAAACCCTAATGGGTTGTACCCCCTATGGGATACCCCACTACACCCAACACAAATAAGTAAGCTATAATGTTATGACAAGGCAGCGGCGAGCCAGAAGGATAAGGCAGCGGCGCTGCATATGGAGGAGGCAGACGCACATAAGGAAGGAGAGGCGCGGAATAAGGCAGAAGCAGCGGCGCGGCAGAAGGCGGAGGCAGAGGAGCAGAAACAGGCTGCGGAAGAGGCGCTAGAACTGGCTCGGGCAGAAGTGCGGAAGAAGGCTGTTGTGGAGGCGTCGTAGAAGGCGGAGGGTGAGGCGCAGAAGATGGCAGAGGCCGAGGAGTAGAAGCAAGCTGAGGCAGACGCACGTAGGAAGCCAGATGGAGAGGAGGGTTCAGATGGGAATAAAATGATACAGACAGAGGGATGGGAGACGGCGGGTGCTGAGGGGCACATCATCACAGAGGAAGAGGGGCAGCATGACGAGGAGGCTGTGTCGCATGTATTCGCATACCGAGAGACGCAGAGCATGGCAGAGACAGAGCGTCAAAATACTATGGAGGAGGTTCGTGTGGTCTCGGAGGCTGGAGTGGGGCACTACGAGGGAGATGCGCTGGAAACAGAAGAGGAGCAGAATGAGGAGGATACGGTACATCCGGCGGTCCGAATATTTTTGGGAGGAAGTGCGGGGACCAGGAACCGGGGTAGAGGGGCCATGGAGGGTGGCAGACGATGGGGCGCCTAGGGATACAGTGGATCTCAACAGGCAGAGGCGGCCTACCCTTCACCAGAGAGCAGTGGAGAGGGATCTCGGCCAAGGCGGGGTGGCAGAAGCGTTTTGGCAGGTAGAGTGGGTCGAGGCAGAGACGGCAATACGGCGGATGCTGCAGCGCACGAGTACAGTCCTGGTCGAACAAGGTGACAAGTTTGTCGAGGCCGAAAGCTGGGACATAAGCCCGGCAGAGGTAACGCGTCGTCTGATGCTCTTAGCCTGAATGGTGACGCAGACGTTCTGCAACTTGGCGGCCCGCAACAGCAGCATCAGTCGCGACGTGGCCGATCTGACCGTCCATTACTGCCGCGATGCCCTGGCCAACCTGGAAGAAGCCCGCCATGGAAACAAGGAACGGCGGCGCCAAGCTGAAACGGCGGCCAGGTTTCGCGAGCAGGTGGACACGAGACTGCCCAACTTGCGGGAGAGTATCGAAAGGGTGAGTGATCAGGTTCGCCAGTCGGGAGGGGGGATGGCAGAGGGCACGTTAAAGGGGGTGGAAGAGAGGTTGAGAGAGGTTCTGAGAGACGACTCTGAGGGGCCGAACAGGGATAGACTGCAGGACGAGGAGCGGAGGCAAAAGGCCACGAGGAAGGAAGCAGACGCCGCAGAGAGACGGAAGAAGGAACAAAAGCAGGAGGAAGAGCGTCGGCAGAAGGAGATGAGAGAGGGAATGAAGGAGATGAAGGAGGCGATGATGGAGATGAAGGCAGAAATGAAGGAGATGAAAGATGGGATGGTAAACCTGTCAGAATGTTATGTTTGTCTAGCCTGCAGTGGGGTACTCAATAGTGAGTACAGCCCGACTTAGGGTTTCCGTGCCCGTGCCGGTAGCAGCCTCAGCGCCAGCGGGACAATCCTCATCGGCGTCGGCGACCCCATCGTCAGCGCCCACGGAAGATTCGTCCCACGCGCAATCAGCGGGCTGGGCCCATCGTGGAGGTGGAGCCTGAACTTCAACCCACTCGTCTGGGGCCTTGTTGCTGTCAGGATCCGACAGGTACTCGTCGAACGCCGACGAGAGAGGGAGCGTGAGCATGGGCGTATTGCGTGTGCCTGCATACATCGGCGGACTCGGAGGAGCAGGAGGAGCTGGCGGCGGCGCAGGAGGCGCTGGAGGAGATGGTGGCGCCGGTGGCGCAGGAGGTTGTGGTGGCTCTGGGGGCTCTGGTGGGACACAGCTATACCCAGCTGTCAGCAATAACGCGAAAGGCGGGCCTAGGATTCTTCTTGAAATGGAAGTGCGTGCCACTGAATTCCGCCATGGCTTTCGCAGCCTGGCGGGCGAGGCATGAGAAACTGAATGTGAAAGTGCAAGAAAGGGCAAACAAATGAACTTCTGACGGGACCCCTCCAAAGCAGCGGCTCGGGGTTCTCGTCAAGGAGAGACGGGTACCCCCCTGCCATAACCCACAGAAGAGGGTTCGCAACTCCTCTCGTGCTGCGCTGGCAGGGCATATTCGTGCCCCTTCTAGAGGCATCGGATGAGATGCTTCTGTCTGGCAACGCATGTCAACCTGATTGGGCCGCACGGCAGATTTCAAGTCAGCGTTGGCAGATGCATTGCTTCGGGACGTGCTCTGTGCGGTGGGAAATCGAGTCGCTGCTGTTTTTGCTTGCTTTTCATGCACGGCCCCACGTAATAGTTTCACATTCGTGCTCGCCGTACTGAGAGCTTCATTTGGTACCCTTATAAACAAAATTCATTTTTTCCCTTTTTATACCCGCATGCACCAGCAGCTAAAATAGTGAACCCCGTCCCTCTTAAAAACGTTATGAATACAGTCTGACAAACACTGTTTTAAATGAATCGTTTGGGCAGAGTGAACTTGTGTGATTGGCTCTCGCTAAAATGGAATGATGTGGTTCACGCCAAAATGAACTTTCAGCCATCGCATTTTGCGTGCTGGATCCGCACGACCGTTCCCTGGCAATGGTTTTCCATCACGAGGCCCAACTCCAATTTCGAGCTGGTCTTGGGTTCACAACTAGCTTACTAAGAACAAGAGCTGAGAGCATAAGCGTTTCTGGCATAGGCTCGGTATTATTGACGAGTGCGTCGACTTACGGTACCACCAGCACGTGATGTAGTAACACGTGGCCTAGAAGCGCGGTGTTAGTTTCCTCTCTCGCGCCTTCACCATCTCCCCTACCCTCCAGTCGTTCGTCCTCTGTCCTCCCTCCAGTCGCCTGTCCGCTCCCCTCCTGTCAACTTTGCGCCTCTCTCTCCTTTTCCCCTATCGCCCTCTCTTTCTCCCCTCCCTCCCGTCGCCCTCGCTGTCCCCCCTCCCCTCCCTTCGCCCTCTCTTTCTCTCACCTTCACTCTCTCCCTCCTGTCGCCTTCGCGCTCTCCCTCCCGTCGCTTGTCCGCCCTCCCTCTCATCGCCTTCGTGCTCTCCCTCCCGTCGCCTGTCCGCTCTCCCTCCCGTCGCCTGTTCGCTCTCCCTCCCGTCGCCTTCGCGCTCTCCCTCCCATCGCCTGTCCGCTCTCCCTCCCGTCGCCTTCGCGCTCTCCCTCCCGTCACCTGTCCGCTCCCGTCGCTTGTCCGCTCACGGTCCCGTCGCCTGTCCGCTCTCCCTCCCGTTGCCTGTCCGCTCTCCCTCCCGTCGCATGTCTGCTCTCCCTCCCAACGCCTTTCCGCCCTCCCTCCCGTCGCCTTCTCGCTCTCCCTCCCGTCGCCTTCTCACTCTCCCTCTCGTTGCCTGTCCGCTCTCCCTCCCGTCGCCTGTCCGCTCTCCCTCCCGTCGCCTGTCCGCTCTCCCTCCCGTCGCCTTTGTGCTCTCCCTCCCGTCGCCTTCGCACTCTCCCTCCCGTCGCCTGTCCGTTCACGGTCCCGTCGCCTGTCCGCTCTCCCTCCCGTCGCCTGTCCGCTCTCCCTCCCGCCGCCTTCGCGCTCTCCCTCCCGTCGCCTGTCCGCTCTCACTTCCGTCACCTTTGCGCTCTCCCTCTCGCCGCCTTCTCGCTCTCCCTCTCGTCGCAGTGCATCACTCTGTTATTCGTTAGCTCAACATTGTGTGTATGCCGCCGTTGTGAAATTGGTGATGTGTTGTGCTCGATGCAGATTCGGGGACTTGCCCTGTTCGGAAAAGAAAACACCAAACTTTTTGAAACTTTTCATGAGCTTTCTAGTGGACCCAACTAGAAGAGGGGGGGTCACTATTTTAGCTACTGGCCCTACACCAGGCCCTCAGATTGGTTTTGGGCTAGTCTGAAAATTCAGAGTTGGTACATGACTTAATTCTCGGTTGCAACGATTGACTCACGATTACCAACAACTAATGCAGCATATCCCATCTCGCGAACGCTGCCGCTCAACACCGCCCCTTGACCCCATGCCCATCAACCCCTCTCTCACATTCACCTGAAGGCCCTCTCTGCTGCAGAAACATAGCGAGTGACCGTGGCCTGCTTGATGCACGTAGCAAGGCAGAAGGTCACTGGCTTTCAAACCTGGACAGGTCGGAGCTGATTCGGGTGAGAGGAGGAAATGGGAAGACAGCATGCACACTAGATGCATGGACACTCCATGGAAATTTCACACCATGCACGCGCACCATAGCACCCACCCATCCACCCACCCCGTTCACCATTCGCGAGGGTGCGGGTCTCATGGCTCATCCTCGCCATGCTCTTGACATTGCTTGCCGCCACTGCTACCATCTTGGCTGGCCTCACCTGCTCTTCCTGCCTCGGCGTCTCCATAAGGCTGTGCCACATGCCCACAAAAACACTATCAGGGCCAATGCACACGAGCTGTTTTAAAAGGGGAGAGGGTGGGAAGGAAGGACGCGGAGTGGGGGAAAGGGGGGGGGGGGGGGGGGGGTGGAGGAGGGAAGGGGGAGGAGAGGATATGAAAGCAGGGCTGCAAGGGAGGCATGCATGAGCACACGATGCACCGATACACATTAGCGGAGTGTACGTGAGAAGGACGGGTCATGGGAGGGATGTGGTGGAGTGGAACAAGTAAGACATCAAGAACAACAATGGAGGCAGGCATGCATGGGAAAGAGCGGGAAACAGAAAAAGGACGGGAGGGAGGAGGGGGGGGAAGAGGGATAAGAACACAAGGCAACAAAGGAATTCGCTTCTCTATAGTCAAAAAATGGGACATGCTACTCCATGCATATATCAATCAAAGAACACAGTACCAACCTGGTAGTAGTACGGTACTCATCTGTGGAGGCTAAGTCACGGCCAACTCGAGAACATAAGACTTATTGCTACTGTAAGTGTGGATGCATGTATCACAATACATGTGAGTGTACCCCATATGCATGCAGGTCCCCATCTCCCCGTTTCACTCTCTGCAAGTCCAACACGCCACCACCTCGCCCCTCTTCGCCACCTCTTGCCTTTCCGACACCCATCCTGCCCACATCTCTTCTCGTCCGGCTGAATCTTGGGGGCGAGCACCAGAGAGGCACATCTGAGAGCCATAACGTGCTGGAGGGCCTACATGGAGGGTAGATACCGAAGGAGCGGGAAAGTTCCCGGGGGTGACCAAGGGTGCAGTGCAGTGCAGGAGCTGGTGGCTCATGCTGCATCTCATGGTGCATAACACCAACACCGGGTGCAGGAGTCAGGGAGATGGTGAGTGGTCATAGGGGGTGCTTGTGGGAGGGATGAAGCAAGGCGAGACAGAGGGAGAAGTAGCTCAGAGTGAGGCGAACGGGTCTGCGAGAAAGATGCGCAGGTTGAGGGGGTGAAGGGAAGACGGTTGGGGTTGGTAGAGAAGGGACAAGTGGGTATGGGGCTATGGAGGGTGCAGAAAAGATAATCTTCAATCTCTCATAGATGCACTGGAAATGAACACCGCAAAATCATGCAGCATCTCTTATTTAGAGGCTGGGAAAAAAATATCACCTTGAATCTTCCAAAAAAGGCCTTTGAACAGTGTATATTCTAACAGGGCCACTTGCAGCCTGTGAGAAGAAACGAGAATGAATGAACTATGAAAGAAGTGGGTACAAGTACTAACCCTAATTGGGTTGTACCCCCTATGGGATACCCCACTACAGCCTACACAAATGTATAAGCTATATAATGTTCCGACACACCCCCATAGGCAAAGTGGGGGAGAACAAGGGGTCAAAAGAACAGTCAAGCAAAGCAAAGCAAAGCAAGCTCAAGGTGGATCTCAAGTCACCACACAGTCCGAGCACAAGGTCAAGGCCACAAGGCCAGTTCACATGCAAGAGTACACATATATATAAAGCTAGACAAGCAAGAGTAGGCATATATATATATATATATGTAACAGTACAAGCAAGGTCAAGAGGTGAGCAAGTGAGGCAAGACAGGCACAAGACCCAGCTGAGTGCAGAAGCGCTGATGATCACAAGGCGCAAGGGCCTTGGTGAAGACATCAGCAGTGTTGGCCTCAGAGGCCACGTACGCAAGCCGCAACTGACCACGCTGCTGTAGCTCACGAGCAAGGAAGTAGCGGAGAGCAATGTGCTTTGTTCTGTGCTCCAGTCTCTGCTCTCGACACAAGGCCAGCATGGCCTTGTTGTCTACGTAAAGAACTGGAGGAGAACGAGGCGGCTCTCCGAGGTCAGTCACCAGGTAGGTGAGCCAGCGAAGCTCCTGTGCAGCCATGGCCCCTGCGTAGATCTCGGCCTCACAACTGGAGCCGAGAACAGAAGACGAGCGAGTAGCCCGCCACGAAACAGAGCCTGAACCAAGGCTGAAGGTGTAACCCTGTGACGACCGCTGCGTAGCCTGGTCGTCAGCCCAAGAAGCGTCCGCATGACTAGTGAGGACCACTGGACTCCGCCCTCCAAGCACTAGCCCCATGCCCGACCTCCTGCACAAGTAGCGCAACACCCTCTTCGCTGCAGCCATGTGCTCCGGTCGGTGTCTCCCAGGAGCAACATAGCGTGCGAGAATGCTAAGAGGGTATGCAAGGTCAGGTCGTGTGCAGGTCATCAGGTACATGAGCCAGCCAACAAGCTCTGTATACGGGCCACTCGACTCTACGGACTCATCCGAAGGTAGAGCTGAGAGTGAGTGGCGAGTAGGCAGAGGAGTGGCCTGAGGCGAGGAGTACGTGAAGCCGAAGCGCTGAAGGACCTGCTGCACCATGTGTGACTGAGTCAGGGTAATGGTGCGGCGTGCTCTGTCCCGGGTGATCTGCAAGCCAAGGTAGCTGCGCAGTTCACCCAGGTCAGTGCACGTGTGTCTCTTCTGCAGCTCCGACTTCACGTAGGCGAGTCCAGCAGTGTCAGCTGTGGCATAGACCAAGTCGTCGACGTACACGGGGATGTAGAACGGCGGCAGAGAGGTGTCGGAGCGCAGAAACAGCGACGGGTCGGCAGTAGAAGGAGCAAACCCAAGAGTCGCAAGCGTAGACCTTAGTGTGTCGTGCCACTTGCGGGGCGCCTAGCGGAGACCGTAGACTGGGCGCCGGAGACTCCACTGGGTACCAGGAGGGAACGACCCAGTGAAGCCAGGTGGGCGACGCAGCCAGATCTCCTTGTGCAAGTGCATCCGGGTCTCCCTCAGGGGTAAGCAGTACGGACACGAGATGAGGTGAAGCAGCTGCCAAGCACTAGAACTCCTCCTGCCTGTCCTCAAGGACGTCCGTGCCAAGGGCACACTCACCCCCGACGGACGGAGGACATACAGACTCAGACTCGGCAACAAGACTAGCAGCGTAGTCTAGGCGACAGCGAGCGGCGAAGTCGACGAGCTCAGCAACTAGGTCTGACGCAGCAGTGGACTCAAACGAAGGGTCAGTGACGACGGTAGTAAGGAGACGCGTGACAGTAGGACTGGCAGCATGAAGAGAGTCTGACTCCGGGTCGGCAAGAGCAGGAAGAGAGGACTCAGGAGGAGAAGGCAAAGGGGCACGCAGAGGAGTAGTGGACGGACGCAGAGACATCCGGTACGTGCCACGGACAGGAGGAGGACGCTGACGCGAACCACGACCACTAGTGCGAGCAGCACGGACAGGCGACGCAGGGCGAGACGCAGGCTCACGATGCTCAGCAAGACCTCTAGTCGGACCAGTGTAGGGAGAAGGAGCAGGTAGGGGGGAGGCGGGCTGTAACTGTGACCGCAACTGGAAAGGATGTGGACACTCTAAGGGAGGAGGAGGACCAGTAGAAGGCGGAAGACCAAGAACCTGCTGCAGGAGCGGAACGAAGTACGGTCGAGGCCACGTGGCAACTCCAGACACAGCAGGGACAGCACCAGTACCCCCAGTAGGAGCACTAGCGCCAGCAGCACCTCCAGCTCCAGCAGCACCAGTAGCACCCCCAGCAGGACCGCCAACAGTAGCCTCAGTAGCTCCAGCTCCTGTCGTACCCATAGGCCCAGCAGCAACAGTACTCCCAGTACGAGCACCTCCGGGACCCGCGACACCAGCACCCTCAGTAGCCGATGAACCTCCAGCTCCAGCAACACGGCTCCAGCGCCGGGCAAACCACTCGCGCGGCTCCTGTCGAGAGAGTGGCTCGCGCCGAGACGAAGCACCCGGAGAACCTCCAGGCGGAGCACCTCCAAGCCCAGCACCTCCAGGCTCAGCACCCCCAGGTGTAGCACCTCCAGGCACAGCACCCCTAGGCTCAGCACCCCCAGGCGTAGCACCCCTAGGCTCAGCACCCCCAGGCTCAGCACCCCCAGGAGTAGTACCCACACGCTCAGCACCCCCAGGCTCAGCACCCTCGGCAGCACCAGAGTCACCAGTAACCTCGACTGCGTCTACATGGGACATACCTGAAGGGGCAGGACCCTGAGGGGGGAGGGGGTCTACCGGGGGGGACCTGGTACAAGGAAGAGCGGTGGTGGGGGGAGGGACGGAGTGCGGTAGGGGAAGAGGCAGTAGTAGGGGACCGACTCCTCAAACGTGACGTCCTGAGAAGACAGAACACGCCGCGAGGTGGGGTGGTAGAACTGCCACCCTGGCGCGTCAGGGAGGAACCCCAGGAAGACGCAGGGAGCAGCACGAGGGGACAGCTTGTCTGCAGACAAGTCGCGGACAAACGCCCGAGATCCCCATA